CATGTTAGACTCCATACCTCATGTTAGACTCCATACCTCATGTTAGACTCCATACCTCATGTTAGACTCCATACCTCATGTTAGACTCCATACCTGTCATCTGCCTGTCTGGCAGGTGAAAAAAGGAGATGGCATGACCACCACAGGAGTGAGGCAAGGCAGGTGGGGAGTAGGAGTGAGCTGGGCGTGATCTTTGGGACTTATGTCAGACCATCTTCTTCCATGAGTAGCTCTGGCTGTTGACAGGCAGGAAGAGGTGCTGGAGCAGTGGCTGTAGCCGGGAGCAGTTCAGCGACTGGATGGGTGGGAGTTGTCAAATGTGCACCACTCACCTTAATGCTGTTGTCATTCACAAACAGCAGAGCAACAGCTGCTGAGTTTGACTCTTTTCCACAGTGCTGGTTGTTAAGGAGGAATTGAGGGAGGATTTCAGAGAAGACTGTGCATCTAGCTGTCAAAAGAAATAATTTTGTTAGAATGGCCCCTGTAGGTGAAGAAATAGTTCTTCTGATATCTTTCCCACAGCAGGTGTTTTTCTGTTGCACATGTACTCTTTAATTTCTGAAGAGACTGTATTCCAGTTTGGTTTAATAACTCTGAAGGAGATATATTCTCTTGGATTTAATTTAAATATAATCTTTAGTCATAGTTATGATGTGTGTGTGTGTGTCTTGTGAACAAGAACAACAGTGTTATTTGACCCATAATAGTTCTTTAAAGGTGGGATTTACTTACCTGAATATTTTGTTGTCTTAGGACAGTTCCTCTATTGTATTTAATTTATACTTTAACAAGTTGCTGTTTTTCTTTACAAGTACTCAAAGCAATTATGTGACTGACTGAAAACTTGAACTTTTGTTAGTTTTTTAAGAGTGGTTTGGTTTAAAGAGTGCTTTCTTCTAAAAGACCCAATTCCTGATCAATGCAAAGCTGGTGATGCACTAAGTGAGGATATCTTGTCCTGTTTTATCTCCCTTGTTCTTCAAGTGCTTTAAAATTACTTGTTTCTGATAAGTCCTTTGACCACTTATTTTCCTTTATCTAACAATCACTTGCATTTACTGGGTTTATTTGGGGTGTTTTGTACCACTATCCACTTAGGTGCAGAAATTTACTTCCTTTTTCTGTGTGGTGTTCTGCCTTTTCTCTCCATTCTCTCTTTACATAGTCCTGCTGCAGAACGATCACTTCTAAATAGGGGCACTTTACTAACAACTTTATTGCCTTGGGTATCGCTGTTGAAAAAGTCCTGAAGCTATTTCTTAGTTTAATATGTTATTTTGGGTTTTTTTTGTGTGTGTGAGGTCAGACCCTCTTGCCTCAAGTTACCAAGTAGACCTGGTGCCTTTCCTACTGCTTGAGAGGAGAAACATCATCTCATGTATGGATTTTGTTATGATTTGTTTATACTGGGTTTAACACGTGGAAAACCCCCTATCTTTAGAGGGCAGTAGCTGCAGTTAGTGGTGTCTTTGGCCAGAAATACCATCTTTAGAGGAAAATATGGTTAACCTTCTTGTGGGATTTTTTCCTTAGGCTTGCTCCAGTAAATGATCTGAGATACAAAACCAACTTCAAATTCCTTTTTTTTACATGTGTTTTTCACTCTCTCAGTGGTCTGTGTTACAACTATTTTCTATCCTGAAGAAACTAAGAGAATCATGACTTTGCTTCCTCTGTATCAACTAAAAAGAAATGCAGAAGAGTTTTGCCCTCAGATTTGTAACTGCTGGTAAACACTGAAAGTATTCCAGCACAGTTGTTTCGGATGTGGTTCAGTATTTTCTAAACATTTGTTTGCCAACTTCAAATTGATTTTTATGTATTCAAATATAACACATTTTCAGCTTGAATGTGTTTTATTTCTCAACTTCTCTAGGCTAATAAGGACATAGGGAGAAAAAGGAAGTCATTATATGTGTAACAGTGGCAAAAAAAATGAAAAATAGTTTCCTTAAATCTATTGTGTATTTTAGTCTGGATTTGGGAGGGTGCCATAGTACTTTCAGCTCTTTTCTACAGTGGGAGCTGAATACTCTTCATCAAAATTGAATTATTTTTTATATTTTCTTGGAAATTACACAGAACCATCCAGTAAGAGATTCTTGCAGATAAAGCTTTGTTGGTATGTTGTAATCCATGTGTGATTTATGATTGTGGTTTAAAAGCTAATGTACAGGTTTTTCTATTGTAACAGTATTGTTCTTTGAGGCCTCATGAATAGTTAAGTATTCTTTTCTTTTTCACTGTTGGAGAGATCGCTGCCCTGAAAGTTTCAGTTTCTCTCCTTAATTTAGGTGAAGAGTTCACAATTTTAAAAGAAAAAAAATCCTGCCACTTATGCTATGTGTCTCTCTTGACACCTTTCCTAGACAAGTTTCTCGAGGAAAAGGATAAGTAAATATAAGAGCTTCGTGCTTTTGTGCAAGTCAGACAAAAGCATGGGCCTTGGGACAGGATGTGATTGCTTTGAACATGCCACAACTTGCTGTAGGCACCTGGGTGTGCTCCAGGCAAGGAAAACACTCAGACATTTGGTACTGTCTGGTGGGATTGGGACTTTACTTTGTCATCTCTAAATAGGTGATGTTTGCTGAGGTTCTTGGGATGCTGAGAACACAAACCTGGACAGAGATCAGTGCAGTTTGCTGCTGTTTGCCTGTCCCTTTTCATAAGGGCAGAACTTCCCTCCATCACTGTTCTTTTGAGAGGGCTGCATTTTATGTTTGCAAGCAAGAAAAATTATTAACACCTGCTTTTCTCCATTGTTTTATGTACTATGAATAATCCCTGAAGTGAAGTCTACATTAAATGTCACAAAGGCAGCTGAATCGTGTTTGAATGAAAATGGGAAAGTGTCTTTGTTTGTGTCTTACAGGAAGAAAAGGCTTCTCTCCTGCATCGGACTCAGGAAGAAAGGAGAAAACGAGAGGTAAAGTAGCCTGTAAGCTTTGCATGCCCACTGGATTTTAACTTGATGTAACATTTGCAGTGCAAAGTACTTCTGCTGCAGTTCATACTTAGGTCAGGAATGTTTTGTTTCAGTTTGCAAGTTCTGTGTGGTCTTCCAGCGTGCTCCAATTGGCAAAACCCTTAAAGGTGTGTTTGACCCTCACTAGATTAAGCACAAGTTCTGCAATGGCTCTTCAGTTTTCAAGCACAATTAACTGCTTTTTTTTTCTTCCCAACGTGGGTGTACAATTATGGACCAAGTTTAAGTATGAAACTACGAGGATTTCACCAGCTAGTTCAGAATTCTGTGTTGTGCATCAAATTTATGATCAATGAGTCCTTACCAATGTATGTAAAAAGTCTTTGTGGTTCACAGACTTTTTTCCACACATCGAAGTAACCCGTTCTGTTGCTTAATTCTGTGTTCTGCAAAGCCAATGCAGAGGCAATTTACTGACATCTGTGTTTGTACACATGTGCACACAACGATTTTCTGTGGCACATTCTCACAAAATGAATGGCTCCTCTGAGAGTAAAATCAGTTATGGATTTTTAAAAACTGCCTGTAGCAGAATCTTAGCAGCGACCTCAGATTTAAAACCTTTGCAATTACGGGTCGCTAATTGACAATTATGTATTCTGAGATAAAACCCATACCTAGAGAAAAGGAGAACATATCTATGTTTTAGTTGAACCTTACATTATGGTTATGAAGAGATACTGCCTTGCTGTAATTGAAACTCTCTCCTGATTGCACTTTTACTGTAGATACTTTGGAGAGAAAAATAGCCTTTGGCCTATCAAAATTTTGATTTTGGTCAATGCTTTAGATTTAATTACAGTCTCTGAGTATATGCTTATGCAGAGAAGTTGCTTTAGGAACCAGAGTTTCCAAGAAAAATGAAGTAGACCTTGAATAGCAATTTTGTCTGGTGTTTCTCGGTCACTCCAGGTTATGTTCTTAAGTTGGATGTGTCTTCATGGGACAATAAATTAGAAATCAAGGTTTTGTGAGTTGAAGGTTTGTGTGAACTTTCGTAAGTGTATTTTAATGAAATTTAGGAAAATATTTCTGTGTTTTGTTTTGCTTGGTGGCCCTCAGAATTAAAGGCTTGTTGTAGTTCAAGGATTGATTAGGTTAAAATTTCTCATTTTAAAGCAGGCTTCTGAGTCCTTGTACTTTTCCTTCCTCAACCACTGCTTTGTAGCTTTGGGTTCATGAGCAACTATTTACTTCCCTCTTTTATCCCCTAAGAATCTATATGGACATTGTTAGGAACATAATTACAGAAGCCACTTCCTGCAGATATTTACTGTGATGGGGTGTGCTGAGGGTGCTGTCAGGGAACCCTCCGAGTGCTCTTCCCATAGCACCTCCAGCAAGCTGGCTTTCAGTTCCTCAGAAAGTGAGACATTGTAAAGGAATGATTTTACCTACCCTTTCCAGCTGATGAGGAAGACACATCATAAAAAGTACTCACTTGGTATGTCTGGTTTGAAGAAGAGAGTAACAATTTTCATTAATTTCCATATTGTGCTCCTGAGCTTAAAGCTTTAAGCCTCATTTTCCTTTTGACAGAGGTACTGTCTCCAAGGAACTGATTTTTTTTGTTTGTTTTCCCCATATCTTAAGTGTGCCAGCATCATAATAATTTTATATTATTGGAATGAAAACAAATAAATGGGTCTTCAGTGTTAGCTGATCTATGCAGAAAGAGGAAAGCTGTCATAGAATTTGATGAATTCTTCAACACAGTATTAAAACTTTGTTTTATAAAATACATGAATAATAAAGTGATACAAAATAATACGATTTTTATTTTGATTTTTATGGTATTACATACTGAGTATTAAAAATTCTTTTGCAATATCTCAGTGGTAAATTTGCCCTTAAAAACTTGAAAAGCATTCCCACTGATCTATGTGTATTGGATACAAACATTAAAATGCTTTATTTAACTAATGATTGCTGCTTAATTTTTATTTAAAAAAAATACTTTTGAATACAAATATATTTGGTAAAATGGCAGAAATTAGAGTCAGTCCCACAATGTTGATTTCAGTTTTCTTGCTTTGTTTTACAGGAAGAAAGGCGGAGGCTGAAAAATGCAATAATAATCCAGTCATTTGTAAGAGGGTACAGAGACAGAAAACATCAAGTCAGTACTTATTTATTTATTTATTTAGAAAGATGTTAAACAGTTTTGCTGAAAATGAGACTTTCTAGTAATAATTTGATTGAAAAATCTTTTTGAATGTAAATAACTTAATTGAAAAATCTTTTTGAGTATATATTTCACCAAGTGGAAATTCTTTATTCCCCTCTTGACATTTTCATTTGAAACTCAATATTTTAGTAGATGGATGTATATTCTGCAAAGCATGGACGTGGCTGGAACTCAATGGGATCATGCAGTGTTTTTTTAGCTGATTAAAACAGATGAAAACCATTAGATATTAAGAGCTTTCACACACCACAGTGGAGCTTTTAATTTTTTTTCCCAGTATAGCTAAGGTGGTAGTTTGAGTCAAAAAGTTGTTCTTTCTAAGGTGCCATTGGGTAGATTCTTCTAAGAGAGAGTTTTATCTGTTTAAATTCTCTAATTTAAGCAAATTAGATTAAAATGTTTGGTGTGATGCTCTTGATAAGGAACAAATTTGTTGCATCTGAGTGACAGAATGGAACTGTGATACTGTCTGTATGTTTTGATCTCATAATAAATATGTGTTATCTCTGTTTTATTACTTGGCAACCTCTTTGAACGGGAAGCTGAAACGAAGGTTTTAAAATTTTACATCTCTCTTTTAAATCATAGCTGTTATTGATACATTAATGCATGTTTTGTTTTTAAGTACTCCATCCAAAGAAGTGAATTTGATCGCTGTGCTAATTTGGCCCAATCTGGAGGAACCTTTTCCACTGCTAATGGAGCTAATTTGACTCTTCTAGTCCGTCAGTTACTCTTTTTCTATAGACAGAATGAGGATTCCAAGCGTTTGGTGAGTGCTGTTCCATACCCTGATCCATAGTACTTGTGTTTCATGCATTGTTAAAGGAGTCTTTTACTTAAAAGATTTTGAAGGGATGCAAAAAAGCCTTTGTCCACTTAAATTAATTTCAGAGTTCTTTTTTTAAGAGTTCAGGCTTTTGCTGCTCTGCACTCTGCTGTTTTTCATTTAGGCACAAGAACTTAAAATCAGATTTTACAAGTGCGTGCACATACACGTGCACAAAATATGTGAAATGAAGCCTGAAAAATCCTGTGCGTATTATTCACATTAGTTTTTTAAAAATAATATATTAAAATTTTAATCTTTAAACCATATTTTCCACTTAGCCCCCTAGTCATTCCTAAGGTGTTTGGGTGATTTTTTTTTCTCACTGTTGAATAATGCTGGCATATCAATTGCAAGGTCACTGCTAACTTCCCAGGTGTATGAGTTAATATGATTCATAGTGGCTATTGATAATGGACATTAAAGAATTAGGACTATTTATAAAAAAAATATTAACAGATAACTTCATTCTAAGAGTAAAGTTATTTGTAAGTGCAATTCAGTCTTAACTTTGAAAGTTTAGTATTAGCAGTCATACAGATTATGTTGTGTAACAGTGGGGTTTTTTTTCTCTTCTGAACATGATTCAGTCTGAGTTTGTGTTTTGTAAGTCCTCCAAAGGTATCTACAACAGCACTGAAATATTACTCTCTGAGTTGCAGTAGGCAAAACAGTAAACTTGTGCATATCTTGTTGCAGGTATGGATGTGTCAGAATTTAATTAAACAGAGTTCTCAGTTTGTTAAGCAGTTGGATGGTCCAGACAGACTTACTTGCTTATTCCAAATAAAAAGACTGTTGGGGCTGTGTTGCAGGTAAATTCTTTTTTTTCTATGTTCTGCTATGTAAAAAGTGTTCAGAAATTATGCTGGGCACTTCTTTGTTTCTTTTTGCAGCAGGTGAAGTATTAAATGTAACTTTATTTTATGGAGAGGACTGTTTAATATGTGTGTGGGCCGTGGCATTGGATACTTGTCCCTATGTCAAACAGTGGAATGTTCTTAAACTCCGTTGGCTTTCAAGTTCAACACGTGCTTAAGGGATGCTCTCCTAGGATAGGCTTAAGGATGCTCTTAACTGTTTTCCTTAGCAATATTTGTGGAAACCAGGTTTTCTTGGGAACTGATAGCATTTCAAAGTTATTATCTGAGGTACACTTGTGTTTCAAGGATGTGCTTTGGATACATGTTGTTCCAATACTAATGTTATTTAAGATGCCTTTCCTCACGCTGTGTTGGGAATTTAGGGCATATTAGGAAGTTACAAAGGCATATTAATCAGTTACATTACTGGCTTCAGCTTTGCATTTGTTATTTGCAGTGGGAGGATCACAGGAGGGTAAATCTATTAAGGTGACTTGAATATCTGGCACCTAAACCCTAGGTTTAGAAAACAATGTATTTGTTCTTATCAATAATAGGAACTAGTTATATTATCCAGAGCCTTAAAATAATTTTTTTTTAGAAAATTGTTTCATTTAAGTCACTGAACCTTGTGTTCTTATAAGTGTGTATACTATATGATAAACAGTGACACCAGAGACTAAAGAAGACTTGAGTGGTGGGTTTCAAAGTCCATTTGCAGTGGGACACAGCTGTGGTGTCACTGCATTTAACTGTACATTTTCATTACAGTTGAAATTGTGTTTTTGTAAATGCAGCTATTAATGTGGATGGGGAAGAAAACACATTGTTAGGACAACTCTACCTATACACATCTCACACTAAATATCCTTTGAATTCTAAACAGGCTCTTAATCTTCATCATTTCTGTGGTCACTGATAGTTGTTATGTAAGCAGCAGTTGTTAAAAGGATGGAATTTTTAGTATTTCAGTCTGTAATCAAGGGTATCCTATTGTGTTACTTATGCATATGATGTTCCCTAGCATTTGTTCCCAGCCCATATTGCTCTGGGGCTTTTATGTCTTCATGAAAAAACATGAATTATCCTTTGCTTCTCTTCTAGTTCATGCAGTAGACCTCCAAACTTGCAAATCATTGAGAGAATTTATTAGGATTTAATAGGATTTACAGGTAGAGTGCCATATTCATAGAAACCCTAAAATCAGGAGTTACTATTATAAAGATACCAACAAAAAGATGTAGCTAAACTACTGAGAACAGTTGGAAACCACGTAGAAATAAGTTAATTAAAGGTGAATGTGAAAGGGTTTTTGTAATTTTAGTTTGAAATCATTGTACATATGCTTGTGGTGAAATAAGAGAAATATCTTGTTGAATAATTTTAATTTAATTTCATTTATAGGCTATTGCAGAATTGCAATGATGACAGTCTGAATGTTGCACTTCCTATGAGAATGCTTGAGGTATTTTCATCTGAGAATACGTATTTGCCTGTTTTACAAGATGTCAGCTATGTGACATCATTAATTGAACAAATTTTGCACTACATGGTTCATAAAGGTGAGTAGATAGGAACTAGAAGTTCTGGGAAATACTCAGAAATTAAACAGAATGTGTAACACCTGAAGACCACGTTGTTTAATCACATTTTTGCTTTAACCACGGACACAATGAATGAAGTGCTGTGTACATTAACCTGTACACTAGATGGACACTGTGCTTGTAGTGAGATCACTGCTTGAGAAATTACTGCTTGATTTCTTTAGAAATTCTGTTTATAAATTGAATATTCTATCAAGTTATTTACACAGACATTTACAACAGATTTTGAGAGTAGGTGGATATTGCCTAACAAAAGTTTTAATGCAGTAGCTGTTTACACACACACACACAGTTTCCCATGGACACATGCACACACTGTGGCAGATCTAAGCCTTAGTTTTGTAAAAGTTAGTCACTGTGTTGCAGTACTGTTCTCTACAAATATTACTATTCATTATTATTCTAAATTGGCATTACCTCTTCATCCTGCCGACACCACAGACACCTTAGCAAAGAGATGGTGACCTGGCTTTGATTTATATTGTTTGCTAAACTGCAATGAGTTACACCTGTGCAAACATACTGAAAGTTAATGAATTGTGTAGTTAGCACCAAAATTATGTTTTGTCTCAAAGAAACTTTTTTATTCTGGGAGTGTCCAAAAAAAATAATTTGCCTTTCTGATACAGTAGAGTTTGCAAAACTTGTGGATAGGGAGAAAAGACAAAAACATTTTGAAATAAATATCTCAGATCCAGCCTCATTGGTGTAAAATGCAGAAAGAGCACCTTCCAGTCTGTTAGTTGTTGGAATAATTCTATATAAGTTTTACAGTACATTCTGTAGACTAGACTATCTTATCCTGTTACTAAGGATTTGATTTTAACTACTATATGTTCAAATCACTATGAGAAAAATAATTACTCTTATTGTAGCACATTTATTTTACTCACCCTGGCATAGCAAAAACTATAGAAGTATTTATGTTTGTCTCACTAACTTGTTATATAATAAATATATCTTCCAAAATGCATATATTTGTTCTTTTAGTATATGAATTCTCACAACTGGTATATGAAAGTTATTAAGATCACAGAATCATTAATTTTTTACTAAAGTGTAGCTTTCTGATGACTTCAAATGAAAACAAAAAGAAGCATTTTTTGCAGCTACAAATGTTCTGTCTCCAAATCATTTATTATGCTTAATTTGTAAAGAATCTGTTATCAGCTTTTATTAGTATATGTTTTTGCATATAATTTATCTTCCACATGTCTCTTGTCAGCATAGCTGTTATTCTTTTATGAGGACTTCCTGCCTTTTGCATTGTATGCCAAGTTAGGTGGTCCCCAGCAAAGGGTCTTAGACTGGACTCTTGATGATGTGACACTTATTTGTTGCATTTACAGGTGGTTCCTGTAGTTGTGAGACCTGGGTCTTAGTTTAGGAGTTCATTGAGCAAGGGGAAGTTGCTTTAAGAAGAATGAAATCGTGTGATTCCATTTGTACTTCAGTGAGACAAATACAAATTACCCTCTACACATGTCTTTATGGCATGGATGGTGTAATGCATTTTATTACTGTCTGAGAACCCTGTTTTGGAAACAGTGATTGTATTCTTCAGTCTGCTAAGGCAAGGTGGCCATAGAATTGAGACATTCTACCAGCAGGACTCTTGCTTGTATGATGCAGTCCTGCTTCACAATAGAGGGGAAAATCTGTCATTTCTGGAAGAGTGGAAGGATAGAATGTGACTACAGTCACTTAAAGGAGAAGAGAACATCTTTTTCATAGGTCATTGTTTTAAAAAAATCAAATTATTCATTTCATCAGCAAGAGTTCATTGGTCTTTGAAAATCGAAGTGACTCTGAATGTTGATCTCTATGAATGATTTTATAATGGGATATTTCCAAAGAGGTTGCTGATATAGCCCGTTAATTATGTGAATATGACTTAGACTATTCTAAAATGTCTTCCTAAGTCAAGCTTCATACAATGGGTTGTAAAGTGTTTTTCAAGTTAATGTTAAATATAAGTTGTTTTGTAGGGAAAAGTAGAAAACTAATACTGTATTTTAAAAGTGATTTTTCTTACTTGCAGGCTACTACAAGTCGCTTTATTTGTTAATTAACAATAAGCTTCCCTCGAGTATTGAGTATTCTGATGTTTCTCGTGTCCCTATTGCAAAAATACTTCTGGAGAATGTTCTGAAGCCATTGCACTTTACATATAGCTCCTGTCCAGAAGGTGCAAGGTAAATAAAGATCATATTAGATATTTCTGTACTTATTTGCTATAGTCAGAGGTGCCTGGTTTGTTGTCGTTGAGTGTCTAGCCATTCTTTCAGTGCAGTT